TCATCTGGTTCTCATTTTCATGCCTTCTGTTACCTGCCGAAAGGGTTGATATAGCTGCTTTCTCACCTTCACCAGAGACTTGTTATGTCCGTACTCAGCATTGCTCAACTTGAGCTTTATTTAGTTAGGATTCGGGGGAATTTTGTGGCAGTCTGTTTTCCCTTGTTAAATCTTGAGCGCTCTGGTGTTCTCTCAGTCATTTCAGTGTGATTTATTCATATTCATTTTGAGTTTCCTGCAAGGAAAATTAAAAGATGCTCTCACTAACGTGGCCGTTGCCCCCTGGAATTGTGTCCAGTTAACCTTCTCTTTCACTGGGACCTCTAGTACGGCCACGTCCAAGAGATACTTGCTTATTTCATTTCCGTTACTCTCTCACAAAACTGTTCCCTCTTCCCATTCTGTGCTTCTGCAGGTAGCAGTCTCTTTGGCCTGCAGAAATACCGCTCGTGTTACCCTTGCGTTAAATATTTTTGAAGGCATAGAGTTTAGCAAAGATTTCTAATTCTCTCTTAACAATATGCAAGCTGCTGCTGATTTCACACTACGGAGCTCCTCTTGTTTTAGAAGGTCAGAGTTACACCTTCTGATCCTTAAAGCGCTTTGTTAGAGCTTAAGGCCGCTTTGGCTCGGTGATGATCAGGTTCTTTGGACGTGAGCCCAAAAGAGGGAGCCTCAGGTGCCCTTGCTGCAGGGTGCTGCAGGTTTGCACCTTCCCTCCGAAGCACATAGCCTGGTACAAATATCAAAAGGGGTTGCCTTGGTAACGAAACCTCCAGGCCTCCATTTAATTTCAGGGGAGCAAAAGGTCATATGCCCGGTCAGCAGAGCTGTGCTTCAAGTACTAATGGTGGGGGGAGACTTAGTAAGGCCAGAGGTACTTTTGTTTCTAAATGTAAAGAAAATAGAAAACCATGTGAAAAGTAAATGATTTCCCCGTTGCAGATAATGGCTGAAGCAAGTGCTTTGCTTTCAGGAGGAAAGAGGAGTCCGTTTGCCAGGTAACTAAAACGTCTGCACCTGTTTAATCGTGCTGTTATCACAGGGGATGTTATTACCAGTCTGGCCACAGGGCCCTGCCCTTGTATCCCCAACAGCAAAGGTATGCGACACATCCTCAGGCACCGTCAGCCTAGTGTGGCTCTGGGGACTTCAGTCATAGAAATTGGACCAGAACTTCGGCCGGTTTAAACCCTGCTGCTTCATGAAAAGCACTAAATCTGCCCCACAGTTCAGCACTGCGAGATTACACCTCATCTCCATGAAATGTTTGTCCTGCCTTTTAGTGAGGTATTGTATGTATCTGATAGCAGATGAGATTTTAAAATCCTGCTTCAATTAAACATGGCTGCTTAGAAACAGCGTATTATCGCATAGAGCAAATGCAGAGGCCATGTCAAGGAGAAGAGCCTTGATGGCTGACCAAGGAAGGCACAGGTGGTCGGCTGCGATCTGCTAGCATGACGAAGAGGGTATCTCTTCCTTGTTACAGCATGGGCTGCTGCTTGTTCCCACTTCTGTAGAAAGAGAAAGCAGCAGTCAAGCATGACAGTGGCAAGCACAAGTAGACACCACAACCATATGTGGTTGGTCCATGGGGTTTGAGAGCACTCAGTAAACAGCAGCAGTGTGCAAAAGCAGTGAAAAGCCCAACTCTCTGCCATCCTTTCTGAAGCATTTTACTGCAGTCCTGTTCTGGTCCATACTGTTCTTCAGAGGAGAATTAGCGAGAAGTGATTTGGAGTCCATAACTAAGCTGTAGTATACGAACAATTGGCAAACACTAGAGGAGAAAGGTTATAAAAGTGAGTGCTCTGCATGTCTCTTCTCAGTCTGCTGACCGAGACCTATCTGGCTGGGTGAACTAGTTGAACTAGAGCGCTACACTGGCATCACACTTCATTTATTGTCCCCCAAAGGCCAGATAGCTTGTGTCTGTCTCCCTGCCAGGATCAGAGGAGAAATAGGAGAGGAGGAAAGGACAGACTGACTTGGAGCTGTCTGTGCTTTGGCCACCAACTTGATATCAACGTAGCTGTCAGCCCTTTGGCTCTGATGCCTTATGCTCTGTTCATCTGATACCATTTCTGCTGAAGAGTCTTTTCCCTGCCCCTAATTTTATGACTCTCCCTGTGGATTGCCAACTATACACAGAGATTTTGAAGGAGACAAACAAACTGGTACTGCTCAAGAGCAGCCAGTTAAGTTGTGAATAATAGTCTGTGCTTAACAAAGTCTTCAACAAATAGGATGTTGTTTGCCGCCCACCGACTCTGTCATCATCACTTCTGGGAGTTGGAGGGATTTATTGAATCTGGGCAGAGCATTTTTATTCAAAAATGTTTTGCTATGAAGTTGACATTTTGGTAGGTCATGTTATCCCTGAGGGCCAAGTGATGAGATGAGAGATGGTTCTGATGAGAGAGCAGGCAGAGAGTATCTGTCAGTGCTAACTCTTGTACAGGTGACTGCATATTCATTCTCTGGACAGTGGCTCTTGACTCGGTTCTGACACTTAAAATGGACACCCAGAAAGTCCTGAGACAGAATGGCAGGCATAACCACTTTAGATACAGCGCAAAGATGATGGGAAGAAGCCTATACCTTATTGTGTTACTCTCATTTTAGAGCCAATTAGAAGAAAAAAGGATCAAGTATTCCTGCTTACTCAAAACCCTGCTTTCCTGCCCTGCCAGCTGCTCTGCCTCCCTTCCTTCTTGATATAGTCATGATGGAAGAAGCAAATTCACCCCACAGGGGAATGCGTCTAGGTGGCTTGTTGTGGTCGTGAGGATCAGACGAAGCTTTGCTGGTTCTCAGCTCTCCTGTAAATGGAAATAATAAGCCTGTATGATCCCTTCTCTCACTGTGACATTGTGGCTTCAAGCTGTTTTGTTCTTGACTGCCTTTGCAACTAGGACAGTCCTGGCTGTAAGGGTAGGTTACGCGCTTTCCTCTGCAGACACTGTGATGGTTATCAGGAATGCTGCACATGAAGACCTTCCTCACACGAAACAGATGTGCCTTAGAGGAACTCACCCCATTTGAATGGGTACAGGACTGTCAGTAGCAATGTGAAAACTGACACCCCAGATACTTTCACAGAGTCTTTGTAACCTCTCCATGTCAGCACAGGAATGGAAAGAAGCATCAGAATAACTGTGAATTAGGCTCACTTAATTGGGAAATGAAAACCTGTTTGTACAGAGCAGTGTTTCAGATCACCAAGGTCTGCAAAACCATGGCATATCCTCGTAATCAGGTTAAGGTTAAATGGGAGATGTGTAAGAAACCTCTTCCTGGAGGTGATCATTATTTGTAATCCCTTATGTGCTGTTGTCAAAACAGCCCTATTAGGGAGCTAGCATAAGGAAGAAGGGACGTTTTCTGCTACTTTGATACTTTGAACTACAGGCAGTGCTGCTGCATTTTGGGCCTGAGAGACCTCTGCAAGGGCAGCTGGATGCTTTATTGTTTCTTGTAGGTTTTACTTTGGAAATTCCAGATAAATGTACTGACTTCTGATTACCATTTTCTTTCATTTGTAAAAACAAGGCATGTGTGAGTACAAACAGTCTGCCTAGTTCTCACAAAGCAGTATCAGCACTATTTTAATTCACAGTCACAAGGTTGTTTCCCCCCCCTCCCGTTTTTAATGAGACAAGCTTATATAGCACAAAATTATACTTGGAAAGCATTTTAATTCAGCTTGATTGGCGTATCATGAAGATCTTAACCTTATATGTAGACAGAATTGGAAGCAAGAATTATCCTGTAGCATTATCTTTTAATGACTGTTTCTATTTTTGTCCTGAATTCATTTGTTTAGAATAATAGCTAAAATCTTATGCGGGTAAATGGAAAAAGCATCACTGATGGTTCAGTTAACAGACAAAGGGATAAATACATTTAATTTTATGGAAGGTTTGTTAGATGAATTTTGTTTAATGCCAAGTCAACAATTTGTTTTTAGCTAGGAAAAATTAAGCAAGATTGGATGGCTAACAAGTTGCCAACAGACTAAAATGAACCATTGACAGGATAGATGAGTTCACACCGAACAAAGAACCAAGGTCACCGTTAAGTATCTTGATTATCTCAAGATATCTCAAGATAATCAGTTATTCGTCTTCTGAGGTATTCTTCTGCTTTCCAGAGATTTACATTTTTAAAGAGGAGAGCAAATTAGGCTGAATATCCATGGCAATAAGGTGAAGAAGCAGAACCATTCTCTTTTTCTACAGGATACATTGGAAAGAATGTTTCTGTGTTGCACGTGAAATATGTATACACTTAGGAACATTGCATTTTTCTTGGATTTCAGTATATTTACAGTTGCCTGTTTTCTTTTTTCTCTGCAAATAGCTCTACATCTGATATATGAAATTCGAGCAGTCTTTAATTAGATTTTGGAAACTACAGATTCTGGAAACTACAAGGTAAGATCTATCTTCTAGTGCTTATGGTGCATTTGCATTGTCTCATAAAACAGGCACTGCTTTCAGGTGCTGTCTGTATGTGTAGCTATAATAAGATCTTCTGTTTGAATTTTCATTGGTCAGGTATATTATTTGATGTTCTGAAGATGGGCTGCAAAGATTAATTTCTTACCGTCTCCCGCATCTCACACTGAGATCCATTTTTTATTATTTTTCCAGCTCAATCTTCAGGTTATTTGATAATGCGGCTGCTGGTATTCACTCTATGAAACCAATTGTTTTATGAAGGTAAGTGCCATGAGGCCCTGTGCTGGCTGTTTTTATAATGACAGTTTTCCTGTGAAAATAGCAGCACACTTATACTCAGGTTCATAAATGCGTGCTATTCAGAGCTTTATACTATACAGTCATTTGCAAAGAAAAAACAAAACCCAGACAAAGCTCTTCACAGAGCAGTGGGTAGATAGAGCTCATTCGTGTAATGATATCACTTTGAAATGGATGCTACTGAAAAATGCATGGTGTGTAAGTAGCTGCCATTTCCAAATGTCATAGAATTCTTTGCCCTGAGAGAGGGACAGCAAAGCCTAGATCAGGTTAACTTTAAATTTAATATGGTTTGCTCTCTTGGTATATCTAGGCTTAAGAGTTAAGGGAAACAGAACAGATACTGATTCTGTAAGTCAGTTTTCTATTGATCTTGCAAGACTGTTAATGATCTGTGCACATTGTTTAGTATACATTTGCATATTTTTCAGCCTGGCATCTTTTAAGTATGCATCTTTTAGTATGTCTTATTTTTCTCAATAGATTAAAGAACGGCTATTGAACCAATGGGGTCACTGAATTTCATCTAAAATGCATTGATTTACCTTTTTGTTTCAAATCAAGAAATGGGTCAGATTTAAGACAGGAGGTAAATTTTGTGAAAACAGAAGGAGGTATATATAAGGCTGACCTGGCATGTCAAGAATAGGAGTAGGACTAGGGTGGGTCTCAGAATGAAAACGTGGGATCAAAGGAGGAGACAGAAATTAAGTGAACCCTCTAAGTCACCCTTGTAACTTAGTCTTTACACAAGTCCTGAAATCCATTGAAGATTCATTCTTTCCCTCATTAAAACATAAAACCTTCATCCTTTTATCCACTTGAACACAAAACTATTTATAAGTCAACTGGAGCTGGGCAGAGTTGAATCTTTCTACTAATTTCTGCAGTAAATCACCAAAATGGGTCTCATGACTTTTTTGTCTGTGGAATGCAGATGCTTTAACGGATATTGCAGATATGCTCCCATGATTAACATATTAATTAAAGATGTACCACTTTCTCTCTGCCTTAGCATTCTCAGCAAACTAATAAAAAGTATCAGTGATGCATAATTTTAGATAGATGTAGATATAAAGGTACAGATACAGCTACAAGTGCATGTAATAATCATATGAGAAATTTCCATTACGTAAGGAAGTTATGCATCTCTCCTAGCCTCTGCATAACAGAGGCCCTAGTCTTAATGATTTATCCCGTTCCTAGAGATTTCCAAAGGATGTTAAAGGCAAACTGAACAAAGTATTCATCTTAATTTATCAGTACCAGAAGTCAATGTTATGTGATGTGTGGGCTTGGACAGAGTACTAGTTCCTTTAATCAAGGGTTATGTTGAGCTGTATTTCCCCTTGAGGAACGCTAGGAGAGATGCCAGGTGTTTCCGAATCTGTTTTGTGCTCAAGTGAGGCACTGCAGGTTGCTAGGTGACTGCAATGGCCCTTCCTCAACAGGCAGCCTGAGGAGCTAGTCCTCAGTGCCTCTTCATTCCTTCACCTTGAGTCATTTCTGGCTGGACTGAAGAAGAAATGAGAACTCCTAGTTTACCTGAGCTGTTGAAATGTATGTTGTACTTGCCTTATTTGAGGAAGAGTTTCCAAGGTGGCAAACGTACTTAGAGATCTACCCAGCCATTCTCCTTGAGAAATTTCTCACAGTAATATTTGAAGAGATGCTTTTTACTTGGAATAGATAAAATCCGGTGTTTGGATTGATTAGGCTGTGCAGAAACAGAATCCTACATTTAGACTGAATGCACTTTAATGGGATATTTTATTGATGGGTGGGTCTTCTCTTTTAAATAAAAGAAGGGTCCGTGGAATGGATTTTCACAGATCCACCTATTAAGGAGAGGTTTTTCCTCCTCCATTTTACCAAAAGGCACATATGCTTCTCAATACTTGCATAATCCTCTCTACCTCTCAGTATTTAATTTGCATTCCTGATTTCTGCATATGCCCTACTGCCCCGTTATCCCCTCAGTCAGGTGTGCTTTGGCCAACAGGACGTGAAGGGAGACTAGATGTGGAATGGCTATTATCCTGAAACGTGATTGGGATGAGGTCTCTGACCCAACATGGAAAATGACCTCCAAAACAAATGTCATTTTGATAACATAATGCATATTTATAGTATGCTGCACTTGGAAGTCTTGCTCAGGATCAGAGTGCCAATTTGCAAGCACACAGGCATTGCAATCTATATTGTTTGCAGACAAAGATATGGGAAAGAAGAGAGAAATGAAATGTCTTTTTCTCTTCATGAGCAAAAACAGAAGAAAAACCCTGTTCTCCTGAATCCCAGCACCGTGTTCTTCCCCCACACATCCCCCTTCAACTTGCTCTGCTGGAATCAGTTCCCTTGAAATATGCCAGGTGTCATAAATTTTAGGTCTGACTGACTTTCTGCTCATCCCTTCTCTCCTTTTTTGGGCTCCCCAAGGCACACAGGCCATAGATTAATTGCTTCACCTTGCACAATGGGAAAGTGCACAAGATTGCCAAGCACCAAAAGTTTCAGCAGCTCGCTAGATTCACTCAGTTCCTGCTCAGTGCCAATGTCACTGACCCTAGGGATTTTCTGCTTGTTCTGTAATTCTCTTTAACTCTATGGGGTAGTGTGGGACAGCATTCAGCTTCTTTTGTTAGCCTTTGATGCTTGAATCAGATATTTTAAAGTTATGCAGAAACTTGAAATGTTTTGATGACTCGGAAAGAAAGTATGATGACTCGGAAAGAGAGTAGGATGAGCAGTTAAGTGTAACAAACCCTCTCCTGTGACAGAGGACCTTTTCAGTTTGCCCAGCCAGGAGCTGCAATTCAAGCAGCACAACAAATTAATATTTCATTGATAGCTTCTCTGTTCCGGGGGTGTATTAACTAAAAACTGTTGTGCATGTCTACAGGAAAACAAGTATGTTTTCATCGAATGGCTGACAGCTTGCAGAGTTGATGTTGGAGGCAGGAAATTGAAACCTAAACACTGTGGTACAGTCATCCCACTCCTGGGAGGAAAGTGTATGCGAAAGAAAACTCGAGTAGCCTTAACCTAAACTAATGACATTTCAGACTAGATTGGAAAAATGCACTGCAGGAAACACTTAGAAGTGGTACTAGTCAGCAGCTTCCCCTGAAGAGAAACAGGGCCCAAGAAAAATGTTGCTTTTTTTTTTTTTTTTAAACTCGAGTAGCCTTAACCTAAACTAATGACATTTCAGACTAGATTGGAAAAATGCACTGCAGGAAACACTTAGAAGTGGTACTAGTCAGCAGCTTCCCCTGAAGAGAAACAGGGCCCAAGAAAAATGTTTTTTTTTTTTTTTTTTTAACCTAGTAGAGCCATTTTGCCTCCAGTATTTTGAATTTGACAAGTTTTGGTTGAATCCAGTGTAGGACTGCAAATTCTGGCTCTGCTTGAATGCTCTGGCAGCTGGAGTGCTGCGGGGTTAAGAGATGGGCTTTCAGGATGCTCTGCTCCAGGGCAGAGCAGCCCTTTCAACCTCCCTAGTTTCAGGAAAGAACTACCAGTTCTGGCAGATCTTTGGCCCAAGGCTGAGGATCACAATGTTTCCAGGTTTTCTGACTTGGGAGAGTTCAGCAGTGTCAGTACTACTAATTGGCTGCTAGAGAGCGGGGACTCTGAGAGCCCTAAGAAGCAGCTGTATGGGGCCCCTCTCTCTGGGTGGCTGCTCAGTACACTCTCCAATTTTCTCTTCTGTTTCACAGGCTGCAGGCCTGGGGGAACTGGTTCTTTTCTGAAATACTGCATGTTGTTTCCTGCAGAGGGGAAAAAAACCTTTGCTCTTCTAACTTTCTGAAGAGTTTTTATTTTCTTTTTTGCTCTCCGGTCTTCTTCTCTTCCTAGTTAGACTGTATACTTTTATGGCTTGGAATTTTTTGATTTTTAACTTTAACTAAATCCGTGCTACTATCAAGAAAGTAAAAATGTGGTAGCTGATCACAGGTGTCAGCTGGTTGATATGACAGTGGGATATGGCAAAAGCAAGGGCAATTTCTAACTCACTGCAAATCACTGAGAATTAACCACCTGGCTAGCATTTGACCCTTCGAAAATGTTGTCTTCAGTCTCCTTAGACCGTCTTACTGAAAGAGTAACAAATCAGGAGTGCAAGCACGTTCAGGTTCTTTGCTGTTAGTGGATGATGAATAAGGTGTCAGGTGAGGTTGTTTACTTGGAATGCAAAATGGAAGAAAGCTACCCTGTACAAAGGAGACGGTCCTTCAGGGGAAATGCTGTTGCTGAAGGAGCACAAAGCTGTAGTTAACTCTTTGCAAAATATTATTTCAGTTAGACGGCTTTGACAGAAGGGTCTAGATTTACAACAGAGAATATAAAAACATACCAGATACTAGTAATGGATAAACACCTATGCGGAAAAAAAAAAAATCTATGAACAATTGTTTACTTGTTTGTATATCTTTCCTCCATTACAATGCCTAGTGTGTGTCTACCATGAGCAGACTTTCTATAGCTGTTATTTCCTTGGGCTGAGACACGCTGAATCCCACATACTATATTGGTAATAGGAAGCGATCAAGGAGGTATTTAATATACTGCAGGGAGAAGTTTGCTAATGCAGGATTTTTCTTCTGCTAAAGCTGGATTGAAACAACTTTCATCTCAGAATTAGAGCTGACCTGTCTCCTCACAGAGAAAGTGAAACCGCGAGCTCCCTGTGGATTAAACCTACAGAGAGCTGTACAGTCTCGATGCTTTGCTATATTACCCCCTTCTCAAAGTTCAGTCTGGTGACTGACTAGATGCCGTCTAACTAAAAGTGCAGCCCAACTGAAATAAACGTAAAAGAATTTCTTTGCCCTTTCCAGAAGCTTCTTGTTTTCCTTGGACACAGCAGTAGTTTTCATTTCCTACTTTGATGATTATATTGAGCTGCGTTGTATTTTCTCTTAAAAACAAATAATGGGTTCTCCCTTTGCCGATTG